ACATATATATAGGAAATCTTATTATGGGCTCCCAAATTCATCTAATCACTTGCACAATTATTAGTCATCATTAGCAGAACTGATCCGTTGGCAGTCATTGTTATCAAAAATCCATCTTTATTTATTATAAACGGGATTACCGTACCCATTCAGTATTTTGTTATTGACTGAATGTTATTGAGCGTAATTGAAAAAAAAAATTAAGGCAAATTTTCTGTTAAAACTTTTTGTATTGAATTAATTTGCTTCTTCAAGAAAATATTATTTTTTGTTGCTATCTATCATATTCTTATATTTAAGCTTCTTTGGCTGTCGTTTTACCGACTTTCAACTTAGTGTTCTAGATACACGTCCACAGATATTAATTGAGTGCTATCTATGTCATCCAATACATGAATTTGTATATTGTGTGGCAAGCACAATGATATTTTATGCTCAGGGACCGGACCGGGAATCGAACTTGCCGCCTCCAGCATGGTAATTCGTGCCTTTACTGACTAGGCTATCTGAGGCCCTGTCGTAACAAATTATTTTTTTGGTAATCAGTAATGATAATGATAATTATAATGAAAATATGAAACCTTTTTTTCAATAAAAAATAAAATATTTGTTTTCAACCAATAATTTCTGTTAACCATTAAGCGGTTAGATCAATAAAAAATCGATTAATTAGCTTCGGATAACAATCTCTATTATTCAAGAATTATTATCACTATTAATATTCATTCCTAATTTGCTCATTTTGCACTTTCGATTCATAATTCTGACAGCATTCACCACCAGATGACGGGCAGCCTTCAATCGTATTGACTGGTGGAAAATCAACTTGAGAATGTATGACAAAAATCACTTTTAATTAAAAGTAACAATAAAAGTACAATTTGTTCGATACATTATATCTGCATGATGACGCTTTAACTAAAAAGAACAAAATGTAGACATTTTGTCACCGCTGTACCCAAAGATTCAAGAGGAATCAAATATTTTTTTTTAAATCTTCGTACCGCAAAACTGGTTTATCCACCTCTGGTGGAATAAAATCTGTCGGGTTTGTTAGTGGAAACTATTATTCCATTAAGATTTTTATTTTAGGTTTTTAAAATTCGTGTTGTCCTTATGCATCCGTTTTCTTTCAAATTTAAGATACTCTCTTAAGCATTTTTATTTTTTTGGTTTAATTTTCGTTATCAATTCCTTTATTAAATTTTATCATGTTTTTATAATCGTCATAATTATTCAAAACATTATCGTTATTATTCATCATCAATCCATCATTCTCATAAGAATCATTTTTACATCGTCCATATTATTTTATAGCATGATCTTAATAAAAATCAATTCTCATCACTATCTTTGTCATTTTTATTCAGGTTTTTCGTAACTTTTTTAAATTTTCAAATTTTTCATCATAATTTACGTTAGCTTTCCGTAAACAATCATTTCGTTCTTGTGTTATTTTAGTTAAAAATATGCTGTAATCTTGCATAATTTCCATCCACATGACATTTTATGTAACTACGCAAAATCCATAATTAATTATTATTACAATTATCTCAGCAATCTTTTCGAAGCATCGTAATTTATAATTAGTTATCATGTTTTATATAATATATTTAAATTTTCTGTAATAAATAATTTCTTTTCGATGTGTATCATTTTATTTTAGCAATCGGGATGTTCAATTCTTCCATCGTTGTTTTTATTTATTTGCTAATGATCGTTTTATTAATCATCGTTTTCATTAATCAATCACCATACAATAAGATTGTTTATGGGTATTGAGGTACACATATTCGTAATTTGCATTTAAATCATAACCTCAATAAAAAAAAAATTTGTCAATTTTCGTACACTGGAGCTATTTTTAATAAGTGCGATTACATTAGCAAAAATCAACATCTTAGCGCCCCTCGTTGAGACTTTGTAAAGGAGCGTGCTGTCAACTTATTGATTTAGTGTCAATACATAACTTGATATAAAAATTGAGATTAATGTCCATGAGACCGATTAAGGTATCGTTGTGCTCAGAAAACGAAGCTCTTTCAGATGATTGATTGAAATCAGAATGTTTTTCGAAATTGAACGATCCAATTATTGGCCATATTATCAGTGTTTTTTTTTTAAATTATAACTTATGCTTTTCATGATCAATTAATGTTTCCGAAGATAAATATAAAAAATAGTTGAGTACGCAATTGTTATCTGTAATTATTCAATATTTGCAAAGATCTGCTGTGATTAAACTAATTCATAAATAATTATGAGCCAAATCATCATTCTGAAATTCATATTCGTTATCTGCTTCATTACTATCCATGATCAATCAAGCATTCTTTTTATTAAATCTTTATTCATATTTATAATCATTATTTCCACATCATTTATTTTACTGAGATATCCAGGGAGATATTCAAATTTTTTACATCATAATCCTCATGTAATTTATTATAATTAATCAAATGATTTGGAATCATCGCTTGTTATTATCCTCTCAAATTAATTGTCAACGTTTATTTTTCAATAATATGATAGAGTGAAAACTAGAACATGGGTGTATGTTTATTAAATCAATTGAAACATAAAATTTTCTGTATCAATAATTAATTTGCCATTTGATTTTTTTTTATATATAATTATTCAATGAAAATTTATTCTGCATTTCTTACTGGACTCCTCAAGAGTGCAGATTTGTTATTAAAAGCACGCCATGGGCAATTTCATATATCATCTTAACACACCATTATCATAAGGGTGGTTTAAAATCTATCAAGGTCATCGATTTACATAATGATTCATTCTCATTATTATTTTCAACATGATCGAAATAAACATCAATCTTCGGCACTATATATATTTTCCAGCATTTCAAATCTTCCAAAATTGTACCTCCTTGCGTATTTTATGTCACTAATTACCATTTCTAATTACTGTTACCATAATTTTCTCAATCATCAACTATTTCAACAATAATCTACATTATATCCCATGATCATTAGCACCTTCAATCAGCATCACAATCTTTCACAACCATCATCATTGATTTCAAATGCATTCAATTGAATGTACTTATTTTTTTCAATCTAAAGTAATCACAATCTATTTTTTTATCACTATTGCCACCAATTCCCATATTCATCATCTAAAAACCTTTAGTGTCCTTTTTCATCATTGTCATTAGCATGATACTCATTATCTTTATTACAATTTCCATGATCATAGTTCGTCAGTTTCCATTTTTTTTCGGCTTTACATCAACCATTCTAAAACATCCACTTTTCACTGCATTGGAGAATTCCACCACTTTTCTTTTATCCAGGGAGACCTCGCGCTCCAGCTATTTCACATATTATTTCAAAAATCATTCTACTTTATTATCTGTCTAGGAGACCTTTCGCTCCAGTTATTCTATTTGAAGAATTCCACTTCACTATTGGGCTCAAGAGACCTCTCGCTCTGGCCAGCATTATTGGAAAATTCCATTCTATTTAAAGCTTAGGAGACCACTCGCTCCTTTGATAACTCTCTCCAGTTCAATCAAACTGGAGTTATTATCGTAGGTTCACATACTTACAAGCTGCGCCATTGTAGTGAACGACGCCGGCCAAGAAGTCCCACGATGAAAAACACGTCCATCCGTCCAGAAAATCGTTAACAGAATAATCGAACAGGCAACCGATCAACCGAAACATTCTGTACCGAAGAGACAATGTCTTTCTCTTTTACCCATCCGACATAATGTCTAATTCGACCATCCCGTTTTCGCATCCCGCCAACGATGAATGCTAACCCGATCGGTTGCCGACAATTCTATCGTTCTTTCGTTCGTGCCTTCGTTACCGACGTTGCCGTTTACTTTAACATTCATCTCAACCCGTTTAACGTTTCGTTGTTTTTATTTATCGATAGGGTTGCGCGTTATCTCTTGCGATTATGTTTGCAAGGTATATCTATACACTGAACAACAATCTTGTAATTCGAATTTAACTTATACTCTCTTATGCTCATCATATATACTACAGAATGGACCTGCTGCATTATTTTTTGAAACGATTTTTCCCATGACGAATTTTTGATGTGAACATTCTTTACCTGCAACTTCAAAATATTCCATGAATATATATATACCCTTAAATTTAATTTAATCATCAAGATATAAGTCTCTGAATTTTGAAACAAAACGATGGTTGTGCTCAGAAAAATAAGAAAGATCGATACATATTTATTTGAAAATCAAGAACCCCACAACACAATTCAATTTTGCCATTCACTATTAATGATTGCGTACACCGAAGCGTTAGAATCATACTGGTACCCAAAAGGCCGGTTTTTCCAAAGCATCGTCGTGCAATGTGTTACTGCTTGAGCCGCAAATTTGCACAACCACTTGCCGGTTTCTTCCATCAGAGAGTAGGTATATCTACAAACATACATTGGTGCATTATGAGTGTGTTCATCGTGCGTGTTCGATCGAATCAAAGCATCCAAACAAATTGTCAGACATACGTTGTTGTGTAGGAGACTAGGCGCACGCGTCATAACAGCCATTGGACCTACACAAGCAAGCCACCAGAACGAACAACAAACATAACCAACGGAGTTCTATCGCGTAGGTTAAGTATTCGTTTCTCATAGGCATCATTAAGCAGTATGCAAACGGAGTGGTCGTGGTGAGGCCATCCAACGATCAACCATCGAACCAATAATCGAATTTATTTACACGTTTCAGCATGGTCAAAATCGATGTGATCAAAGCTTCTAAGTAATTCTCTGTTTACTTACAATTTATCAAGGCTGACTTTTCGAGTTGAAGGTTGTTACTGAAAGGTGTCGTTCAATTCGTTCAACCGTACCGAAAATGTTCGCCTTTACCCTAAAACATCCACATCAATAAATACCAATATACACAGATTCGGTCAAATTGTAGAAAACATCGCCACCCCACAGTAAACCAAAGCACTCTGTGTTTGCATTGCCCTCGTGGATGGTCCACACGATCGGTCGGTGTTAGTACATAGTAGGCTGAGCTCGCGTTAGCAACGTACGCGAGTGCCTACTGCGTTGTTTTCTGCTCACACTTGTCAGTACCGCCAGCCGTGTGAGTGCGAGCAACGAGTGTTTTATAGTGCATGGGTTGTCGTGGTGAGTTTTCCTCAGCGCTTTTCCAGAATACATACTTTCGCCGTCCGGAAAACTGTCGCTCGCCGGTCAGACGTTTTGCGGTGCTTGAAGTGGTTACATCCTCCTCCAGAATTGAACGAAGAGATTTTGGATGAAAAGTGACTGTGTTCAACAAAAGTGATTTATTAGCAGAGCATCGACAGGAGTTGGTACAAATTCGTTTGCGTATATAATTACAAGGCAAATTGCTTCAGCGGTGGGAAGCGGTTAGAAACAATAGTCAACCATTGGAACAGACGGTGGGTTTTTCTTCGTCGATGCATCGAAACAGAAATAATCCTTTTGATTAGGATTTTCACCGTTTGCTTCCCACGTTCTCAGATGTAACATTCTATTTGTTATTTGTCAATTGACCGAATTAACTCATCGTGGGAACCGAGGATTTCCAAGTCTAATACACATCCAAGCAGGCCAAACAAGCAAGTGCATTTCCATAACTAATGATCAGTCACCAAGTAGCAGGTGTGATCTGGTAGTTGTCATTATAGGCTAGCAAAACGATAAGTTCAAAATCCAAGTGTATACCTCCGCGGTTGTTATCAGGTTGAGTTGTAATCTTGAACGCTGCTATCTCGCATTTAGTGGCATACAGTGTCGTGCAAAAATACCAATACATTTACCGATTGGCCACTTTGGGCAGGTGGAATTGTGATAATTGTTCAACGGGATTTGAAGTGGACGCAGCAAACATTGATTCCCGTTTTCTTCGGATCGAACTGACGTCAATCAACTGCCGAGAAACTACAACTATTTATATTGCCGCTGTAATTGTATGGTAAGTCGTTTTGCTTGATGTATTTTGGTTTTCTTTCTTATATGCCCCTTCCATCCGTAAAGTTTTGATTCGTTGCCTTTATCACCTCTTTTGCATGTGATTGGTGCATACACACCGATGACCCACTCGTTTGCAAAGCACCATCATGAGCACCCCCTATTACCCATCGTTGTCACAGCTGTGTGAAATTGTACAACAACAGTAATGCTGACGGCTGAACTTGCTACAGAAGTGTTTTGCCAATGTACAACTATTAAACATGTCACAAAGTGACACTACAAAACCGGAATACCTACACTAAATGTTCGCTAGCTGAAAGAAACTATTTGAATATTAAAATAACTTACTTTAGCCAAATTTTGACCACTGCCCAAAATTGATCAGCCGGTAGCTTATTTCAGACACTTGTCAGAAAGCGGCTACAGGTAGTTGTTATTTTTACAAAAATCAAAAAGTCTCTTTCAGTTAGCGAACGTTTAGTGTACATATGCTCGTAAATTGAATCAATGATTCATGCTGCATTAGAATTGACATTCCGTTCTTTTTCCCTCTCCTTACACCCCCTTGCAAATGCACTCCCTAACCTCGAGTAAGCTGCGAGTAATCGGTTCCCATAAAACTAACTTTAGCATTAACCCGTATGTGCGCGCGGATGTTTTTGTTTTTTTTTTTTTTTTACTACACCGTGTTATGTAATTAAATGGGGGCTGGATACTCGGCTTCCCGGTCGCGCACATAACGGTTAAGCCGCAATGTAAATTACAAAATGACTATCGGCTCCGTATAGCTACAGCAATTGAACCTTGACAAATAAACAACTTGATTTCATTCTTTTTCCAAACTTTGATGTCATAAATCATAAATCTAGTGCATCACGAATATTTTGTCCGGTGTAGTTTCTTAGTTTAAAATACCGATTTTTATTTATTGAATACCAAACTTTTATACACCGACACACAACGTAATGGCAATAACGTCTGCATAAGCATTTTATATTTATTTTTCAGATGAATTTAATGGGATTTAAAAATCTTACAGTGAAATCACATCTACATAATAATGATTTCAAAACCCTGTCCTGCTTCTTTACATCTTTATTTTTAACCTTTAATATTAGAGAGACACATTTGGTGTTTTTTAAATCTATTAACCATGAACATACTGAGAAAGCTACTTTTATTATTGGTATATCTCATTTGACGACATTGTAAATTGCGTAAAATGTGATCTTGAATATTCCGATTAAACATTTTCAAACTTTCTTAGGTTCTCTACAAAATCTCAACAACTAATTATTTTTGAATCTCGCATAGTTGAGAACATTTTTAAAAACTAATGTTTTATAGCAAACCTCATTTGAAAAATTCACGCCAGTGGATGACTAATTTGCGTTTCAGTGATATAGCCGTCATGTCATGTCACGCACAAATACATAGATTACTCATTTAACGTATGATTGCTGCATGATCAGGGTTTGCGTGTATAGTTTTGACTAGGTTTGGCCATTCACAAATACCTCTGTTGAAGTATTAGTATTGATTGCAAAACACAACGTTAGCAAAATTTTTGAATCATTTTCCATCTAATTCAATTTTGTCGTTTGAGCGATACAACCAGAACTGGGATGTCCTGTTAAGTCGATTACAATGGTTGTCTATTTTTCTGACATAAAGGTAGCTATAACCACTTTCAAATTTAGGTCTTGAGTTACGATTATAGTCGCTATATTTATAGTCTGGCAGATAGAATTTCGATCTATCAATTCAATATACTATAGACCAACAATTGAAAAGGTACTATCAACTTTTATAAACAAAACGTTGATTATTCTTCCCTCGCCAATCGAACGCAAATAAACACAATCATCAGATAGGGGAAACTTTCCCCAACCCAAAGATGGTATTAGTTTGCGTAGGCGAGCCCTGAGTCACGTGAAAACCGGTTTTCGAAGTTATGTTCGCAATAACTGATGTGCTCTTTCCTGTTGTTGGTCGTGATTTGCTCGAGTGGTTCCGCTATTTGACAGACTATGAATATAGCGACTTTGGTCACGATAGCTAATTCATTTATGATAAAAGTCGATAGGTTTACCGAAATTATGTTTTGCTTCTGTTGTAATTTCAAACCGAATTCCAATCCAGTGTTTGCTTTGTGATTTCGTTTCTTTGAAATGTTTCGTAACATGTGGCAGACCAACCTTCTTACTTACCTTACCATTCAGGCTCCTTTGTTGCATACATAATGGACCATTAATTCAAGTCTATTCTTCATACAGATGGCGCTGTTGCATTGGTAGTAAGTAATAAAAATCCCCATTTAGAAATTTTAAGAAGTCTGCTGGTGTCATTATCGGCGGTCATCAGCGAGCCAAGGGGTAGTCACGCTAAACATTTATTTCGTGCCAACTTTTTTCTCAGCGTGGCAGTGCCGAGAGTGTCAGTCGTAGGCAGCATTGCCAGATATTCCGATTTACCGGTATTTGTAAAGATTTTCGAACTTGATACCGATTTACAGGTACGGATTATCAGAATACCGATTTATGAGATATTTTACCAATTTATACCGATTTTTTTTTTAATATTCAAAATGATTATTGCCTGCCCGAATATCTCAAATTCTTAGAGTCTGCTTAAAAAATATTCATCTATAAAAATATCTTATTATTATACTTTTAATCAGTGAACAAACAGGTCCATCAAAATGTTCATTTTTTTTTTTTTACTTTCTGAAGTTGGAAGTATCTTCCAACTTTCCCCTAGAAACTTTCTTCCACCTTGCCCCGTAAGTTACTATCCGATTCCTACCGGATAGTTATTTCGGCTCCCCTTGAAAGCTTCTTCTTGCTCGCTCGAAAGGTTCTTCCGTTTTCTCCCGCCAGTTTAGTTTTTCATCTTCCACGGAGCCTCAGGGATGCTTCCAAAGTTTTATTGTGGTTCAACTAGCTTCAGGGAAACTGCAGGAACTTGTAAGTTATGGGTAAGTTTAAAGATCTGTTATGTTGAAATTCGAGAACCCGGGAAAGTTCAGGGAAATTTAATGGTTTTCATGATAGTTCCATTTGTTTCAAGAGCATTGAGAGAACATCAGAACATGTCAATTAATTTCATTGCAGTTTCTGAATCTTTAAAGGTGTTCCGGAAAGCTCAGGGAAGTTCCGAAAACTTCAAATTCAAGATAATCCTGAGAGCACTTAAGAAGTTCCAAACTCTTCAAGAAAGTCTAGAGATCTTCAAAGAAGATAAGAGATTTTCTGATTGTTTCCCACCACTTCAAGCATGATCAAATAACTTCAAAACAGCCCCATTTACAATTGCAGGAACTTTCAAGGAGTTCCGAAGAATTATGGATTATTCCGAAGTGCATTCCCGGAATGTTCCGAAAACTTCAGGAATATTGCGGGGTCTTCATGGATGTTTTTTGAATATTAGAACAATTGCTGGATTTGGAACTTCAGTAAACGTTGTTCTAACATCCCGAAGAAATCTCTGTCTTTCGATTTGTTTTTCTCCCAACTACTCCTTGAAGTTTCTTTCGACGGAAGAAACTCGGAACCCTCTGGATTCAGAAGTTTCTTCCAATCTTCCTTAGGAAGTTTTTTTTCAGTGCCTCCAGGAAGTTTCCTCCGTATTCTCCAGGAAGTTCAATTTAACTTCTACCGAATGTGTCTAGAGAATTCTCCCAGATGTTTCTTTCGTCTTCTGCAAATTTCTCCATACGACATTCTCCGTGGGTTTTTTTTTCGACTTCTATTGGAAGGTTTTTCCGAGCTTCTTCTGGCTTCCGCTGGAATTGGCTACTCCAGGAATTCTTTATTTTTTTCCCGATTTATGAATCTTTATTAGAGCTTCTTTATTGTTTCCGATTTCCAAATATTTTCTCTATTCCTCTGCATGTGTTACCCCATTTTCTACGAAAGTTTTTTTTTTAAATTTTCACCTGAAGTTTCTCAATATTTGTTTTGGACAACATCCGGGATGTTTTTCTGACTGTCATTAGAACTATCTTCAAACTTCCTTAATTCTGGAAGTTTTTTCGCCTTCCTTCACAAGCTAATTCAAACGTTCCACAAATTTTTCCGACTTCTCCTGGAAAGCAATTTTTACGTTCTTAGTCCAAAATTTTTAATTTTCGCCTTTATAAACGGCAAAAATATAAAATTAATTAAAATAGTAAATACCGATAAATACCGATTTTATCAAACATTTGATACCGATAAGCTAGAAAACAATCTGGATTGAGTTTTTTGTTTGTTTGTGAAACATTTGTTGTTTGGCATCCCGGTTAATTTGCAGTTCAAATGTTTTGTGGAAGACAATAAGCAGTGGAATCCGGACCGAACCAAGACAAGGCTCCAGAAGCACCCCAGCTAGACAAACTGGCCCTCGATAAGGCGATCATTAACATTAGTTAACATTAGCGTAAAATTAATATTAGTGACAAAGGAAGGCCAGTGATTCCAGCAAAAAATGTCGATTTGATGTTCAGTCATATGCACATTAGAGTGATGCAAAAATTGAAATTTTCGCTCCACAATACTTAAACGATTCCAAATCGGATCCTGACTAACCTCTCAAAATTTGAACCCATTTGGTGAGAAACTGAGATGGCACAAACCATTTGAAGTTTGTATGGGAATTACTATGGTAAAACCAAGATTTTTGTTCATGTCTATCTGATAATTCACCATATCGGTCTGCTTCAAAAACTTTCATTTGTACTTGTAGGAAATTTACCCAGCTACAACTTTGCTGAAGACCACTTTGTGATTAAAGGCAAGGATCGAAAGTTATAAATGGTTCCATGCGCTGATGTCTTATGATCATGCTCAATCAACTGCTCAGCAGGCAACATTGGTGTTTCTGGGGTGTTGAATAGGACACAAAAATCATGGCTACTATGTCACAATGCAAAATACAGTGTTGCTTGCAGCTGCTATAACATTATGAAGGTAGCATGCAACTTACCTTTTTCCCTTAGGGGCTGCCTACTCTGTCGATCGG